ACCTGCTCTAATCTGAACCAACTGGGTCCAAACAGAACCAAGGTTCACCTGCTCTAATCTGAACCAACTGGATCCAAACAGAACCAAGGTTCTCCTGCTCTAATCTGAACCAGCTGGGTCCAAACAGAACCAAAGTTCTCCTGCTCTAATCTGAACCAGCTGGGTCTAACTGACCAGAACCCAGAAAGTTCCTGAGCTCCACACAGCAGCTGAACTTCCTGATCTTTTTTAAAAACGTCTTGTTGCATTAAAACAAGTGAACACTGAAAACTTCAAAAACCTGCCAGACTCCATCTGTCACTTTCAGAACCAGTTCTTTGCTTTAATGGCTCAACGCTTCGCCTTCTCCACCACAACTTTAACTCTTACCTTTAATTTGTAAGAAGAGGAGAACCAGCTTTTGGTTCTGCTTCACGCCGAAGGGACCATTACACCCAAACATTTTTAAATCTGCTCCAGCCCGACTCTGAGTCGAGTCAAATAGACACAACGACAACAATTTCTTAATTGCTGTATTTTGGTGCGGCAGTTCGTAACGGTGTTCTGAAACTACGAAGTGCAGCAGCTAACGGCTAATGGTGGGTGGTCAACAGGCACACCCTGGTTCCGAACAGAAACAACACAACCTGTGTACCTCTTTCTTGTCCTGGAGACACTCCAGGACCGCCAGGTTGTTGTTCCAGGAGTGCTTGGGGCAGAGCCGGGCCAGGTCCTCTCTGCACACCGCCTCTTCAGACAGCTTCCAGCCGGCAGGACGCCTCCGAGTCAGCGAGGCCGCAGCAGCCTGGAACCGATCACCGGTGCCGGGGTTCGCCGCAGCGAGTACCGGACCTCCACCGGGATTCTGGACCCTTTCAGCATTAACTCCGAGTTTGAAGGGGACGTTGTTTTGAGCTTGGGTCTGATGTAAAGATGAGAAGCTGCAGAAGAAAACGAGGAGCAGAGGAACACGTCTACAGATCGCCATCTTCACAGATGCTGACGCGTTCAGGGCACCTCGGAAATGTGATTCACCAACCCTGATGACGCGTTCATGAGCATCCGGAGTTAAGAATTAAAAATTTTTTTTTTTTGCGGTGATCAGAGAACATGAAGCTGCTTGGAAAGAAAAATAAATAAATAAGCAAACAAATAAATAAGTTTCTTCTTTCAGCTGCTCCCTTCTTCGGGGGTCGACACAGTGAACTTAATGGGCGGCTCAATGAGACTAACCTGGATAAATAAAGCTTGAATGAATGAATGAATGAATGAATGAAATAAACAACTAAAGATATGGCAGTTGTTGTTTTCCTGTAGGAACCACAGACCTCTGTGTGGACGGCTGCCATTTGTGGAGTGGTGGCGCAGAGGTTAGAGCAGATGGATGTGATCGGAAAGTCACAGGTTCAAATCCCGGTATCAAAATGTGGGTGGAAAAGGTGAAACACCCACGCCTGCCTCCACCCTCATTCGCCCCACTCTGGGCCCATGAGCAAGGCCCCTAACCCCCACCATCTGCTCCTAAACAGGTCTCTCTTGAAAATGAGTTCTCGTGGCTCATTGAGACGACCTGGATAAATAAAGGCTGAATGAAAAAATAAATTCTGTTGCACCAGGGGGAGCAGATGGTGGGGGTTGAGGGCCTTGGGGGGCCCAGGGTGGGACAAATGAGGGTGGAGGTGGGTGCTTCATCTTTCTCACCTACATTTTGATGTCGCTCCAGAGGATCGGACCAGTGACCTTCAGGCTCACCTTCTCCAGCCTCTGCGCCATCACTCGCCACCAAACAAATAAATAATTAATAATTATTTAGGGTACTGTACCATCAAATCTGTCTGAACTGTTTTAGCAAGTCTTTATCAAATAAACTACGATCTTTTTTTTCTCCATTTGTCACATGCACAGTTGATTTTAATTGAATCACGTGAAAGAAGCATTGTTTTAGTGAGCTGTAAGCGTACAACCACTGTCTGACAAACAGAGCCCATGTCTCAGAGCTCCTGCTCCTCTGACGACAGCAGTGTTCAGTGGATCTACTGGGACCAGGAACCTTCCAGTGGTTCCATGTAGCAGAGCACAGAAAGAGGCAGGGGACCAGAGCAGGTGGAGCTGCACGCCTCACGATGCTCCAAGATCTCAATCAATTTAGTTTCTTCTGTTTTTCACTCAAAACACAATAAAGATATTGAACTAGTTTGACTCGGGTCCTCTGGATGGATTCCTTTGTAGAAACGTCTTTGTCTTTTATCCAAAGGACTTCTTCAGTCTGACAAGGATACTGCAGGACGTCAAGGACTTGGGGTCAACTCTAAAGCAGGGAGAGTGGTAAAGAGGTGAAGAAGAGCGTCCAGGCAGGATGGAGAAAAGTACATAATTACTGGAGGAAGACTTGCTGTGGAGACCCGGGAACCGCTGAAAGATCTTTACGCCAATCCAGGTCTTTGACCCAGGAATGTGAGAACTGGAGCACCGTTTCAGGATGTTGATGAGGAGGAAAGGAATATGAAGCTTCAGCAGATGAAGTTTTCAGAAGATAAATATTGTGCTCATTGACAAAGAAAGCAAGAGAGGAAGAGGACTGTTCCTTTAAAGAAGAAAAGTCGAGTTTCTTGTTGACACAAGCTCCAGGTCGAGCCTGCTGAGTTCAGTCCCAGGCAGAGGAACGATGACTGAGGTTTCTGCTCGAAGGTCTGAGCTGTGGAGATAGAGCCGGCTTTTCCCACTTGCTTCACGTTGTTCATGCAGTTTGTTGCAGGTTTCAGTAGCGCTGCTAAGTCTCAATCTTTTACCATTTATCCAGTCGGGTCACAGAGGCAACATGTCCAGGAGAGAAACCTAAACATCGCTGTTCCCACTTTCCTGCTCCTCCTGCGGGGCCTCGACGCATTTCCAGGACAGAGAAGATACAATCTCTCAAGAGAGTTCTGGGTCTTCCCCAGGGTCTCCAATCAGTGGGACACGCAGAAAACCTCTAAGAGGCGTCTGTAATTACTGTTAAATTTCAAACAATTTCATCATTTATCGCAATAATTTCTGAAACAATTAATCGCCCAGCTAAATTTGTGATCGTGACAGGTCGAACACTGACTTTACATGAAACAGGAGCCGTTCTCTACATGGAGGCTCAAACAAAGAATTAACCTGAAATAATGAAGCAGGCCACATCAGTAAAACAATAAGTCCATTTTTATTAAAGCTGAGGTTGTACACAAACAGTAGTAACAAATATACATATTTACAACTTTGTTAAAAAAAAAAACTTAAATTTTCATCATCATTCTGTCCTACAGCTGGATGGAGGGAAAAACACGGATTCTGAGTGAAACTTCACCTCAGCTGACTTTCCCCAGGTCAAAGGTCAGCCGTCAACTTCCCCCAGGTCAAAGGTCAGCCGTCAACAGTCGAGTTCACAGGAACACTGCTCCAGTTTTCCACCACGTCACAGACACATTCAAATATCTGGTTTTCCCGAGGCTTCCGACGACACCAGGAACCACCAGCAGTCGCCGTGCTGCAGGAAGCCTCGTGCAGAGTTCACGTCAGGTTTAAACAAGTCAACCTTCATTTGTTCTGCACGTTTTACAGAACCATGATTTATACAAGCTAAACTTTCAGAACCATTGCTGCAGGACTGAAGGTGCTGTCGGACATCTCCCCAGGCAGATGGTCATCCCAGAGACAGAAAATCGGAGGTGTTCCACACGGTACCCTCACATCACGACTACCTGCTGTGACGTCTCACAGGACACCCCGAGGCTTCAGGCTCACTCCCACCTGTACAGCTTCAGCATCTTCTCTGTCAGAGAGGCCAGGAAGTGCTCACGGTTCACAGACAAGGGGCTGATGTCCAACACCGGGAGGTCTGCTGGAAGCTTCTGCAGCAGGGAGCCGCTGCTGGCGTCCCACACCTGAGGAGGAGGAGGAGACCGTGAGGTGTACGAAGACTGAGCAACAGGAAGCGTGCGTTTCCTGCATGAGGCTGCAACAACTTTAATTTAAAAATAAATAAAATCAGAGAAATCTCTCAGGTTTTCCATTTGACTTGTGGTCAAATACCCAACATCGTCCTGCAGGCTCAGACAACAACCGTTTCAGTGTTCGTGGGTCAGGAAGAGCACGCTCAGCTGAATTACAGGAGTCATGGACATTTTGTAAGAATCTGTCATTAAAAAAACATTACAAGCCGTGCGCAGAGGTCCCCGATGCTCGTCTCTGTGTCCCTGTGATGGACTGGAGACCTGTCCAGGGTGTCCCCCACCTCTCGCACAGTGACAGCTGGACATGAGCACCAGTGACCCCCGTGAGGGGGGGGCACCCTGGACAGGTCTCCAGTCCATCACAGGGAGACAAACAACCATTCAGTCTCTCACCTTGGGACAATTTAGAGTCACCAGTCAGCCTAACATGCATGTTTTTAGTCTGTGGGAGGAAACTGGAGTACCCGGAGAAAACACACGCAGCACGGAGAGAACATGCAAACTCCACCCAGAAAGGTTGAACCGGGGAAACCTGCTCGCTGAGGCGGCAGCTCTACCAACTGAGCCACCGTGCTGCTCATCCAGTAAAACCCAGAGACAAACTCTGAACCGTTTGAAATCATTTCATTTTTAACGCGGGCTCAGCAGTTACCATGGTGGAGTTGGACGCCTCGTCCCCGGCACAGACCAGAGTCCCACATCCATCTGGACTGCTGAAGACAGCACTCTTGGTTAGCAGCTTGCAGGACGAGCCGGCGGTGAAAGTCTGCACAGGTGAGCAGGAGCAGGTGGGCAGCTGACTGGAGTCCTGCTGGGGGGATCGAGTCAGCGCCATCAGGACGCAGCGCAGGGACGGGTTGGAGCGTCCTGCAGCAGAGACAGCCCAACCTTCAGACCAACTCCAGACTTTCTGCAGCTTTACCGACCCATCAGCACCCACAGTAATGTGGGTTCATCAGGAGTTTAAAAGATTGTAGAATAAAACGTTTAATAAATTAAAACTTACAACTTTGATACAAACAGGTGTGGAAAGTGTAGTTCACTACAAAAGTTATGAATTACTTTGACTCGCATTGCAGAACTGGATGAATTGTGTGTACTTCATACTTTTAATTGTTCAGTCCATGTTTTTACAGAGTACGTTTTATTTCAACTTTTATGTTTTATTTGATTTTTACTTGGTTATATTTCAAACCCATCCATTGGTCAAATATGAGAAAGTAAACATGTGAATTAAAACCAGGAGAATAAAAGCAGCCGGAAAAAAATAATTTGACAAAAATCAACAACGACAACAAAAACAGTTGTGCACAGAAGAGGAATCCCCCTGACTGAGTTCCCTCATGAGGAAGAAACCTTTAGCAGAACCAGGATCAGGACAAGAGGACCATCTGCTTCGACCGGCTGGGTTTGGTAGGAATAGATACACAATGGCAGGTCAAGAATCACATGCTAAGATAGAAATAGTACAAAATGAAAACTATTTAATTTTAACAATTCATTTAAGGAAATGAGGTCAGTTTGTCCTCTAGTAGTCTAAGTCTATAGCAGCACAACAAGCCGACCCTAACTATAGGATTCATCAAGGAAAGTTTTTTAAAAAAGTTTTAAAGTTTTCGTCTGGATCTCAGCCTCCAGAGGAGCTCAGAGCTCACTCCACCAGAGGAACCATCCTCCACAGCTCTGCACGGAGGAGTGTCAGCGCAGGACCTCAGAGGGATGACGCAGATGTTTCAGTGAGCTCTCCATCCTGCCCGTTGTCCCAGCAGCAGGATGACGTGCAGCTCATTTCTCTCTGTTGCTCAGCTCGTCTCAGGCGAACAGGTTCAACGTGTTTCAAAGGCTCAGCATGGTGTAAGCAGATATCTGTGTGACTGTGGTTCTGAATGGACCCAGTGAGGCTTAGACTACATCCTGCTTCGCCTTTAACCCACTAGCGAGGGCCTTAAGGGTGAAGCCTATCCAAAATAGAACGGTGGTTACGTTCTGTAACCCCAGGAGTACAGGCGCAGCCCTTTAAGACCTCGGCCTCACTGGCTCCTAAATGGCAGAAGAAAAACTCTTTGGGAGTTTATTCCTGCGCTCAGCACAACGTATACAGACCGGGTGGGGCCCACACAACAGGCGGGGGCGGACTAAAGCTTTCAGTGCTGCGCGAAGGGTAAACTAAGAGTGGGAAAGGTTTGCAGGAGCGTGGGAAGAGTTTGTAAAGATTTAAAATATATATAAATAAATATAACACCGCTGCTTTCAGATTTTCGTGGGGGTCTCTGGAACGTAACCCCCGCGATGAGTGAGGGATCACCGTGACTTGCTACGATACCTGCTGTACTTGGGTTCTTACCTGGCCGGTATGTGACCAGGCAGTGTCTGCTCTCCGTCTCCACCTGAATGTCCGTGCAGCCGGAGCCCTCCAGTGGCAGGACATGTGGTCTGTAGGTCGTCTCATTTACCTGCTCCCAGAAATAGGCTGCCTCTAGAGAGCCAGCGATCAGACCACCGCAGGGGAAAGAGCTGGAAGCTGCTCGTGGCACGTAGCACAGCGACGCTACAGGACACCTGGAAACAGCAGAGCACGTTAGAGCTGCAGCGAGAGGTTAAAGGTGCCGACACCTGTAGAAACCACACCCACTACAGAGCAGGTGCAAGTGCTGATCTCTGTGTGGGCGCACCTGGAGCGGAGCGGCTCGAGCTCCTGGATGTGTGTGCTGGTGTCTCTGGTGTCGTAGATGAGCACAGAGCCGTTACTCAAACCGGCGTAGACGTAGTTACTGTTGTCCAAGCACCAGCAGCAGCTCCACACCGGTTTACCCGTGTTATACGTCTGAACCACCGTGTTGGTCAGCAGACTGAAAACACACGAGACAAAAAGCACTTCAAACTCGACAGCTTCGCTCCAGTGACAACAAGAGCACCACCTACGGCACATTAAAAGCCCGCCAACAAACGATGAGGCAGCATTCTATAGCGACGGCCGGAGTAAACAAAGACCTTTATTTAACCTTGACCTTGGACTGGGGTGACTCAACCTGTACGCAACTCTCCGTCTAGAGATGAAGCGGTTTGGTGAAATTACGGTATCTTTAGTTAAATGCGTCTGCCTTTTGACGGGCGTATAATAAAAACAGAATAATTGTTTAAAACAGAAACAATTGAAAAAGTTCAACTTATTTCTAATTCAGGAGAGAACTTTCATTTAGTCTCTTTTCCTGAACGAGTGGCAGCGACAACGTAGATCAAATCACTTTTACAAACACTTCAAGTTGAGACTCCGATCCCTTTTGGCCATCGCTGGATGAAAAATAATCATTTCAATCATATTATCAATTCTAATCAATAATTCGTCATGTTTTGGAGCCAATACGAGGAAGACGTCCGTCACATATTTAATGTTCCTGTCAACGCAGCAGAGCTCTGCTCCACACCTCTTGGTTCAACAAAGCTCGCCCCACGTCTGAACGTCTGTGGGGGCCACGGCCGGGCCGTAAGGCAAAGGGTGGTGTCGTGACGTAGTAACGTACCTGGTCAGTTTAATAGTGTTGTCCAGCGCAGCGGACAGCAGCAGGCTGTCGTTCTGTCTGTTGAAGGACAAACCTCTGATCTGTTTGCTGTGGATGGGAACGTACTGACTGGCTTTCATGTTCACCATGCTCACCTTCTTCACCCCACAACCTAAAGACAGGAAAGACCAGCGTTACTTCAGTGAAATGTTTTGAAACGTCTGAACATGCGGAGAAGAGAAAAGTTGTGCAAATTGTGACAAGCACCAAATTTGGTACGATGGTTTGTTTTTTTTAGTTTTAGTCTGATCAGCTCGATTGGCCATTTGAAAATCCAAGACGGTGGCCCTCAATTTCAAGATGGCTTCCAAAACGAGCTAATTCAAGGTATCTGTAGGTTTCAGCACGTCAAATTTAAGACTTAAAAACCTTCTTAATGACACCTTGATTACATGTAAAACCTGTAAATACAGCTGGGGGATCGTGCACCATTACAACCAAGCATAGCACGCGTGTCCATGAGATGCATTCAAGAACAGTTTTTGTCCGTTTATTCAACGTAAAGCGATATTCATGTTTGTACAAGTGCAGTTATTTGATTGGAAACATCCCCCAAAAAACTTCTACCGAAATCGTTCATGGCACAAGACTCAATTGTTGTTAGAGTCCGACTGGTTCATCGATAGACGTCGATATTTTAGGCCGAAATAGACGTTTAGGGACATATCGGTATCGCGATAATTGTCCCATTGTGCACTGATATAAACACTGGGAACAATTTTACAGATCAGTTAAAATAAACTTACCATGCGCTGTCCAACAAAATACACTACACAGTACTGCTCCGGCTTTGTACATTCATTCAACCTTTATTTAGACAGGTTAATCCCACAGAGCCTCGACGACTCATTTACAAATGACTCGTTCACGACGACTTATTTCCAAACGACTCATTTCCAAACGACTCATTTCCAAACGACTCATTTGCAACGACTCATTTGCAACGACTCATTTGCAACGACTCATTTACAACGACTCATTTGCAACGACTCATTTGCAACTCATGCTGAAAGTTAAAATGAACTGCCATGACTTGAGTCTTCATGCGCCCTCTACTGGATCAATTGTACAATTACGGCTGTGCCAGCATTTTAGGGGTGAAAATTCAAAGCTTACAGTATACTGGTGCATAATGGGACAATTATCACTGATACGACAGGTCCCCAAACGTCCATATTGGCCTAAATATCGGCCCTACCGATATATCGGTGGGGCTCTAGTTTGTTTCTCTCCTCGCTCTGAAAGTAAAATAATGGGACTGAATTTGTGCAACAGAGATTTTACCCCTCAGTTTCTCACCAACAGTTTCCTTACGACACGCTGAATATTCAGGTTTTGCATTTTTAATACATAAATGCGAAGTTGTTGAAGTCATTTGTTTAGGCAGGTAGCCATTTTTAAAACATCATCTGCAAGTTTTTGTTTACAATTTTTTTTATTGTGTAAATGCCAAAGTTAACTACTAAAAATAAAATTGTTGGCGATTTTGAGTTAAAAATGGACATTTCGATCATTGAATGTTTCCATTAACAAAAATGAGTCCAGAGATTAACTGGAAGAAAAACAGTTGACAGTGACAGTCCTAATGGTGCATGGGTAATGAGTCTGAGGGTAGCAGTAAAGATCTCATGTTTTTATATTTGTCAGGTTTCACAGCAGCCGGAGCAGGTGAAGTGAAAACTAAAGACAAACGGGCTTCTCACCAGGCACCAGTGTGGAGTGAGGGGAGGTCTGGGAGGCCAGCAGGCAGCTCAGAGGTTCACAGTAGGACAAAACCCTGCAGCCTCCTGTCTGGGACAGCATCACTGCCCTGGAGAAGCTGTACTGAGACTTCCTGGAGCCATCTACCTTCTGAGACAGGTTGAAGACATGACAGCTTGATGAGGAGGCAGAGGGTGATGAGGGGAAGGGAACTGAACTCCTGCCTGTCTGGGCAATCAAGGATCTCAGCTCCTACGGAGAAATGTCAAGAGGGAGGTGTGGGGGGAGGTGGGACAGAGCGACAGCATTTAGATCAGTTGTGTGACCATGTTTCAGAAGACTTGACAGACAGACGAACGTTGAGGCTGATTTATACTTCATCAGAAGTGCTGAACCTGTTTCTAGTTGACGTGGTTGTGAGACAAAAGCTTCATGATTTTAATCTTGCAGCGTCTCAGAGAAGTTGCTCTGTGCACAGCCCCGTCTGAAGTACCAGCATTATCTCGCAGGGCATGCGTCAAGCATTGCGTCATTTGTCTGAACTCTGTGGACACCTCACCTTCTCCAGGTGTGCAGTGGAGAGCATCCTGTGCTCCAGCATCAACGTGTGGCATGGAGGCTGCACAGCTGCAGAAAGAAAAGCTTTGCAGAGAGTGGTGAAGGCTGCACAGAAGATGTTGGAGTCAGCCTCCCCACCATCACAGACATCTACACCTCCAGATGCAGGAAGAGGGCCACCTGCATCATGAAGGACCACACTCACCCAGCACACACACTTTTTGTCTCGCTCCCCTCAGGAAGGAGGTTGAGGAGCATTAAGTGTAGAACCACTAGACTGAGGAACAGCTTCTACCCTGAGGCTGGTAGACTCATGAATCTCTAACTAGAATAATCACTGTGAAAAACCATATCATGTTGCTGCTGATCTGTTTCATGTTGCTGCTGATTATCCATGCTGCTGATTTATTTCATGCTGCTGTGTTCATTTGTACTCATCTGCTCACACAGACTCATGCTCGTGCTGCTGTTCAGTGTATTGTTTTTGTACTACTAGTGTTTGGCGTATTCTGAGTTTTAGTA